GAGAGAGAGAGAGAGAGAGAGAGAGAGAGAGAAGTTATTTATTAATAAAAATTGTTTTGCAACAGTTGCAATTTGTAAGTCAGTTTATGTTTTTATCGTTTTGAAACTTTTAGTCTGTGTGCAGAAAGTGACAAAAAGTGAATAAAATTTGTTCTTTTTAATAAAAGTCGTACACAGTAAAAAAAAAGATTTTTAATAATTTTTTTTTAATTTATGTGAGTTCGGGACTTTATATCAAACATTTTTCCTCTTTCCTCTTTTTCCCGTAAACTTTAGTTTTTAAGTTAAAAAATATTTTATAAAAAATGAGTTTTTACACAAAAAATATAAAATGTCGTAGACGAAAGTTCAAATACGGATTTAAAGCTTTATCTTTGTCCTTAAAAATGCATGATCAAAGATCTCGATTCTCGTAGAGAAGTCTTCTTTTTTTTACCGAGATATCTAATTTTTCGTAAAATGTGAAATAATCGTAAGTGTTTTAAACTTTTGGCCGGGACTGTACACAGTAGATTTCTAATTCCTTGATATCGATTTCTTTCCTCGATATCTGATCTTCATCGTTGATGACCCTGAATGAATTTTTCTGAACACGAAAATACACTTTTTCATATCAATCAAGAATTCTCACTCATTTTTTAATTGTAATCGCCACGGTATTTTTACCATTTTTTTTTTACTTTCCATTGAAAGGTTGAAGGTACTCACAGATATATGGTAATTAAGCTTCATTAATAGTTAACAAAATAATATTTCTTTCTGATTATTAACTTTCAATGAAAAAATAAATAACTCTAATCGAATCGAGATTACCTTCAAGGACTTTGGAAAATGTTGAAGCGATGATAAATCAATGTGAACGTGTCTTCACGGAGCCGATTAGCTCGACTATCAAGAAATCACAGAGTAGTCCCTTGACGCAAAAACTGTATTGGCACGATTATCAAACAGATGCTCATCCTCGTTGCACCAAAAGACCGTTGCAGACTCGTCGTCAGCGGAGATTCGAGTATGATAAGTATTTGTTTAGAATGAAGGGAGACGCTGCGAACTCAGAACTAACCAACGAAGATATCGTAGCTTGCTCCAAGTATGCGCGAGCGATACCCGTCAAGAGCTCATTAAAAAAACACCATCGTTGCAAACAGCCTGAGGTATTAATATTCGCTCTTTAACGAAAAATTGTCCGTACTTTACAACAAAAAAGGAAGCGTGATTTGATAATATTTTTGGAGTCTTTTACTATTTTCTTTAAAAAAACTATGCAATTTGCGGATTATCTCTGTAGCTTGGTACATTGTTAAAATGATAGAGATGATAGAAGATCCCTTTGATGATTTTTTATGTAATTACGCTTCTTCAAAGAAGCTACGCGGTTTGCAGATTATCTCCGTATTTTGATACATTGTTAAACGTCAACGTTTCAAGAACATTGCAGTTCACTTCATTAGGGTGAGAAAAGCAATTTGATACTGAGTATCAGATTGCTTCTCGTCCTGATAAACTGCAATATTCTAGAAAAGTTAGCATTTAAAGATGTATCAAAACATGAAGATAATCTGCAAATCGCGTAGCTTCTTTGAAGAATTAGCGTAATTTATTACATAGAAAATCGTCAAAGAGGATCTTCTATCATCCTCATTATTTTCGAATTTATCTGATATCTTCTAGAGATCGCCAGACGAGCGAGAATGTTCTGATGCTGAGAGTGAGGTGTCGGTGAAGTATATCCCACGTGCTGTCCAATCAAGAAAGTCGCGCGTGCTGGATCCTGAACTGAGGTGTCGCTACGTTGGTATCGGTGACGGTGAATATGTCGCGGAAACGAAGAACGAAAGTGACGTCGAGTCTCAGGAAATGAGGAACCTCGTTTTGAACCTCGAGGACCTGGAGAAATTGAAGCGAGGAGATGGTGGGGCAACAATAAGTGAGGATGACAAGAGGCTTGAAAAACGGAGACCTGAAAATGTCGCGAGAATGGTGAAATCGAGAAAGACTGGGGATGCAGCGAGCAAGTCATCCACCTTGATCGGCCAGTCAATTAATAGACGCACGA